ATCACGGCAGCCCAGGCAAGCGCCCGTGTGGGTGTCACATTCATCTGCATGTCCATTGCAGACGCACGGCCGGCAGCTGGGGAATCCCCACTGGCCACGCTGGCAACGGTCGCACCGGAGCCCGAAGGCACCAGGTCGGCAGGGACACTGCCCACTGGTTGCTTCACACAGGCCGCTGAGCGCTCCCTTGGGGCTACACTGGCAAGCTGGGGGCAAGGCAGAGGTGGAGCCAGGGAGGGGTAGGAGGTCAGAATGGAAGAGAACTCCAAGTGACCCAGGGCTGAGAACATGGGGTCCGCGGCAGAGGTAGAGGAAGGAGGACGCAGAGCTGGAGGGAGCAGAGGGGACAGCGATGGCGAGGAGAGACAGGAGGAAAGGAGGCAGGCAAGTACCTTGGCAGCCTGTGGGGCCAAAGCCGTAGTAGCCAGAGGCACAGAGGTGACAGCGGCGCCCCACCACTCCAGGTTTGCAGCGGCACTGACCACCGTGGGGGTTGCACTCGGAGCTCAGGGAGCCCTGAGGGTCGCACTGACAGGCTGTGGGAGGGAAGTCAGGGCTGCGTCAGGCCGGGCCCTCGCTCTGCCCCAGATGTCCGCACCCCGGACACTCACGCAGGGCACCGTTGTAGATGAGCACGGACAGGCTGATGAGGAGGGGAGCGCAGGCCTCAGAGGGAGGGGCCTTGCTGGCCACCAGCCCCTCCTCATGGCAGCGGTAGCGTTCAAAGGTGGCGCGGCGCTCCAGGGCAGCAGCGTCGCCCCCACTGAACATCTCCAGAACCAGGACACGGGGCAGCAGCACCAGCTGAAGAAGGGAGGCTACGGCTCAGGCTGGGACCACCTGGCACTGCCAGAGCCTTAGCCCTGTTACAGGCCTGCCTCATCTGTCATAGACCCCTCCCACCTGCCACCACCACAAGCCCCACCCCATCTTGGTTGGTGTGGTGAGAGGGGATGGTTCACCGAGTCAATAAGCAGGCCAGGTCCGGAGTAGGGGGTCTCGGGCTGAGCACCTCCCCCTGTTCGCACCAGCTTCAGGAGCAGCTTGTAGGACGTGCCAGGCTCAAGGCAGACGGGACTGGGAAACACCATGGACCTGGGAGGAGGGACAGGTACAGGGGTCACCCAGGGTCCTGTACCCATCACCCTGCTCGAAGCAACTAAACCATCAGCCCAGGCAGAGACTACGCCTGGGCGAGGCTGAGCAGCCCAGCAGACCCTGTGACGAGTCCATCCACCTACCCGCTGGACTCGTGCCAGCGAAGCCCAGTCTCCCTGGAAACACATCCAGCCTGGCGCCCCCACCACACTTCCCTGGCATGGAAAGCAGGCCAATTTATTCTCAACAACTACTTCACGATTCCTCTGGCTCCAACCTACAACCTACAACTTCTGCTCTTCTTCACTAATACTGCATCGCCAGGGGCCAGCACATGGCGTGGCGGTTAAGGCAACAGACTTCTACATGGCCGACCAAGGTTTGAGTCCTAGACCTGACGGCTTGCTCTCTCACTTTCTCTCTCTCTCTCTCTCTCTGGACAAATTAAATAAACAAATATAATTAAATAATTTTTTAAAAAAATAAAAAGACTGCCTCACCTCTTCTTTCTCCCTGTCTCCTAGGTCATTCCCATCACCTTGTAAACCCATACTCAGGTTCTTTTATGTCCCACAAAAAACCCTCCCTCAGCCTCAAGCTGCTGCCTCATCTTTGCTCTCCCACCTGGCAAACTCCTAAAGAGACCTCGGTAGTGGGACCAGCAGCTGGCATAATGGCCTGGCATAATGGCTATGTCACTGGACTCCCATGTAGCCGACTGTGGTTCGAGTCTCGGACCCGGTGGCTTAAACTCATGCTGGGCATGTGTGCATGCGTGCCCAAGATCCTGAGAGGAGAATGGAAGAGAAGGGATTGCGGCGTGACCATCCCCCTGGGGGGTGATTTCTTGCTTTCTGTCTCTCTGTCTCTCTCTGTCTTTCTGGCGAGTGCACGCGCCCTATAGCAAAAACCTCTCAAAAAAAAAAAGAGGGAACCAGCAGTTAGTGTAATGGCTATGTCACTGGACTCCCACGTTGTAATGGCTGTCGCTAGACTCCCCCGTGGTCGACCGCGCTTGCCGTCCTGGCTTAAAACTCACGCCGGGCACATGTGCGTGCGTGCCCAAGATCCTGAGAGGAGAATGGAGAAGGGATTGCGGTGTGGCCATCCCCCATAGCGAAAACCTCTCAAAAAAAAAAAAAGAGAGAGACCTCCGTAGTCACCGCCTCTGCTCTGAAGCCTCCAGCTCCAGGGGAATTTCTGCCCCACCCGTGCCTTGGTCACTGCTGACTCCACGTGGCTAAGCCCGGCGGCAGCTTCTCTACTCTTATCTGACTCTGGTATGCCGCAGGTCAGCACGTCTTCCTTCTTCAGACATTCCTTTCTCTGGCTTCCGGGCTCCTAGCCTCCTACCCGCACTCGCGGGCCTCCCCACCCCCAGCTCCGTGCTCCTCTACTGGCCTCTGCGCCTCCTCTCTCTGCTCACATCTCTTTCGTGACGTGTTCCCAACTTTTTTTTTTTTTTCAAATTTCTTGTTTTAAGAATTATATTTTTAGAATTATTTTATTTAGTTATTTTATTTATTTATTCATTTATTTCATTTTTATTTGACCAGAGAGGAACAGCGAGAGAGAGAGAGAAAGTGAGAAAGCAAGCTGCCAGGTCTGGGACTCAAACCATAGTTGGTAACGTGGGAGTCCTTAACCACCACCTTACCTGCTAGCCCCAAGTCCCCAAAAACTTTTTTTAAAAAGAGTCGTTTATTTATTTCCATTTGTTATTATTTTTTCATCTGACCAGAGAGAGACAGATCGAGAGAGCAAAGGAAAGGGAGAAAACAAGGTTGAGGACTCAAACTGTGGTTGGCCCTGTGGGAATCCAGCACCTTTAACCACCATGCCACCTGCCAGCCCCCCAAGTCCCAAACTTTCATCTCCGCTCAACTCTGCTCTGTAATCCAGACACAAAAGCCCAATCACTCCCTGGCCTTCTTCCCCACGACTAAGGGAAGAGATCTATCCCCATTCGGATGTCCAGGCGCCAGACTCTAGAGTCACCTTCCTACCTTCTCTCCCTTCTCTGTCTAAGCCTTTAGTTGTGCTGCTAGAATGGTCTGGAACCTTCTCTCTTCTCACCACCTGTTCTACTACATCTCCCTCCCACCCACTGTCCCCAGTCAGGTCAGTAGCCACCAGCGGGTCTCCCAGCTTCCACCTTGGCCCCTTCCAGTCTGTTCTCCACTTGGCAACTAGAGGGATCTTTGTTGAACAGTAGTCACAGCTGACAAAATGTCTATGATGGCCACAGCTAGGTCCACTACGCTGTTCTCTCTGCTTCTATGTGTGTTTGAATATATGATCAAAAACTTAAAAAGAATCCGAGTGATGAGAAAGACACACAAGACAAACACTACCCAAAATATAATGAAACATTACTCAGATCAGTGAATCCTCATTCAGTCACATCCTTGCAGATGCCACTGACCCCCCTGAGTGGGCGCTCCCTAAAACTGGGGGAGTTCTCATCGCTCCAGCCTTGGCCTCTGGACCTTAGACCTCCAAGAGAGCAGGCCCCATTCTGTCCACTTCCCTCCTGAGGCCAGAGCCATGCCCAACAAACAGCACTGAGGAAGAGGCATTTGTAGTAAAGAACAGAGGGACTGAGCAATGGGGTCCCGTAGGTGCCATGCAGGGAGCTCAGGCTTGGCCTCCCCACCCCGCAATGGTGTAGGCGCTACTGTCGGGGCCTCACCTAGAGTTGGGTCGCAGCGTACCCTGGATGCGGTCGTCCTTGGGCAGCATGTGGCCACACGGGCTGTGGGCAGACACAGGCCCCGGCCACTGCACCATCAGTTCCATCTCAGCCCATTGCCCAGGGACCTAGAGGAATGGGACACTGGAGGAGATGCCCCCACATCCAGGGGTTCGGTTCCAGTTCAGATGTCACAGGGTCTAAAGATCTGACCTGGGGCTCCAGGCGTAGCAGCAGATCGTAGTCCATGGCCCTCGGCACAGAGGCCACCAGGAACTCCAGTGTCTGACCTTCCCGCAGCCGCACGAAGCCTGGTCCAGTCCAAGATGGAGTCTGCTGGGTGGTCACTAGGCGTTCCACCACATCAAGCATCTGGGAGGCAGTGCAGCCAGGGACACGGGCTCAAGTGATCCGTCACCTCTACTGCCACCGCCAGCTCCAAGCCCCCACACCTCACAAGGTACCCATTACCTGCCTCTCTAGCCCTGTTCCCACCCACACCCTACCTTCTGCTGTGGCTCCCCCACCTGTCCTCGGGCATCCTCAGCCTCCCAGGTCAGGTGGTCCAGGAAGGGCCGGAAATAGCCAGGCTGCACCTGCTCACAACGTCGCCCAACCATGTGCCGACGGCAGCGGCACTGCCCTGTGGCCTCGTCGCACCTAGGGCATGCTGCAGTCACTTAAGGACACCCTCCAGCCCAGGACCTGTCCACCCTCTTCCCAGGCCCCTCGCAGTACTCACTGGGGATCCAGGGCACCCCCCACATCGCAGTCGCAGGGGCGGCAGCCGAGCAGGTCGTGGCTTAGGCCCCAGTGTCCAGGCTAGGGAGAAGAGGTTCCTGGGAGCTAGAAACAGGCCCCGCCACCCAGCAGGGTCTCCAACCACACGGCTCTCACCAGCCCTTGCTGAAAACATGGACCCCTAGACAACTGGCCCCCACACTCATGCTCCCAGACTGGAGACTTCTCAGCCAGGGCTGGGCCTGAGGTCTCAGCACCCACCCACGGAGGCATGGTTGTCACACACACACCCGCCCTTTGTCCTGAGGACAAGTCCAAGACCCCCGAGCCCCAGCCCCTTCCAGTCGCACCAGGCAACGGTCGCAGCCACGTCCAGTCACTAGACGCTTGCAGAAACAAGTTCCACTGTTGGGGTCACAGGGAGAGCCCCCAGGCACCGTGCCCCGGGGGTTACACTGACAACCTGCAGGGAAAGCAGCCCGTGAGCACCTGGGTGAGCTGTTCAGCGCTCAGGCTCAACTAAGCCAGGAGCCAAGGGTTAAAGGTCACACAGGAGTTAGGGCAGGTGGCACATACGCTGGCAGCCAAAGGGGTCACTGGCACTGAGCCCGAAGAAGCCATCACGGCACTGCTGGCAGCGGGTGCCCACCACGTGTTCTTTGCAGCGACACTGGCCGGAGACTAGCCCCAGTGTTGGGTCATCGTGGGAGTCACAGCGACCACCATCTTGGGAACCCATGGGGTCACAATCACAGGCTGAGAACAAAAAGTGGTGGAAGGTCAGGGGCCGGCGGGTGTGTAGTGGTTAAGGCACTGGACTCCCACACAGCCCACCGTGGTTTAAATCCTGGACTTGGTGGCTTGCTTTCTCACTTTCCCTCTCCCCCTGGTCCCATTTAAAAATAGTAATAAAATAAAATAAATAATAGTAAAAAAAATAAAAGTGGTGTAAAGTCACCCTGTCCCCACCATCCCCGCACCAGTCCTGCCTCCTGGATCCCTGCCTCTCTCCACCCCACTCCCCCCGATTCTCTGCAACCCGGCAACAGTCAGGCTCCCCAGCCCCACCGCAGGATCCCCTTCCCTCCCCCACGCCCAGGCGTAGCCTCACGGCGGCACACAGCTGGGTCCCGTGGGTCCTTGGTGGGGTCGCGGTAGAAGAAGGGCCGGCACAGCTCACAGTGGCGTCCAGCTGTGTTGTGCTGACACCCGTCACACACGCCTCCACTCACGTTGCCAGATGCCAGGTATGCGGCCATGTCAAAGTGGCAGCTGTGGGCATGTCCGTGGCACTCGCACTCTGAGGACAGGGCAAAGGCCACTTAAGGGACCAGACCCTAAGTACAAGGGGGTAGGGGACCTAGTAACACCCTAGATCCCATCATAGGCCAGAGTTAGTGGGTGGGGGCTCAGTGTCCTACTGGGCCCCAACTGAGAGCAGCCTGTACAGGAGGGCTGAGGGGTCCCCAGAGTCACCAAGGCCTGCATACGCCTTGGACACAACCTGGGTATTAGAGGCTTGGCCAACCAGCTCTAGGTTCTCACAAGGGCATGACCAGGCTGCGGAGCTCTGGGTTATGAGGGACAGGGTCTCACTCACTCCGGCAGGCGTGACTGTGGCCGTCCTCAGCCGGGTGCCAGGGCAGGTCATGATAGAAGTCCTGACACTGCTCACAGTTGAGGCCACGCGTGTTGTGTTTGCAGACACAGGCCCCGTGCACCTATGCGGGTAGACACGGGTTGTCAGCACTGCCAGCCATCCCTAACCCTGTCCCTAGCCCTGTCCCAGCCATCCCAGCCCTGTCCTCACCATGCCCTCAGCGTGGGCTGGTGCCCCTGGGGCGGGCGCGCACTGCGAGGCGTGTCCGTAGCAGAAGCAGTTGCCACGCACGACCAGCTCGTAGAGGGCATAGTAGTACTTCTCTCGGATCTCCCGCCGCGGGTCGAGTAGGTTGTCCCCCAGCGTGTGTAACCGAGTCAGGTTCACCCGGAGGTTGGTGATCTTCAGCAGGTCTGAGTAGGGGACACAGGGGAAGGGTGGGGCCGACTGGCCAGGCAGGACCTTGCTGCCCCGTGGCTCATCCAGGGGCCCCACTGCCAAGGTCACCTTGGGAGACCTCCTGTCTACTGCCACCCGAGCTAAACTGGGCTTGGCACCTGTCCTGGGAAGCACCCAAAATAGTTACTGAGGGCCCAGATAGTCCCCGGCCGGACACTGGGACTGTGCCAGGCCCAAAGGGTGGAGCACTCACTCTGGATCCGTGGGCTGTAGGGGTCTGGGATAGGGATGGCGGGGTCCAGCACACGAAAGATGACCTGGAGAGGCAGGGAGGCCACAGAAACACTGGGCCTTGCCTCAGGCCCATCGTCCTCCCCTTCTTGCCTCCAGCCCAGGCCCCAGACTCACCTCGCCTTCGGTGGACGGCTCAATCTCGGAGTAGCGGGACTCGCAGACTACATCATCCCAGTGCCGGGGCGGGGCTAGTGGGACTCCTGGGAAGTCAGCCCCACAGTCATAGGAGAAATATCGGTACACATGCCAGGTGCGACCGAAGTCTGCCGAGCGCTCCACCAGCATGGCAGCAGGGCGAAATGTCTGGGTGGAGGCATGGTGAATCAGAGGGCACCAGAACCCAAGCCCAGCCCAGGGCCATCGAGAGCCCTGCTCAGCCCAGGACTACCCTCAAGCAGCTCACAGACAGGCAGGGGGTGATCGGCGGAAGCCAGGCAAAGACGGGAGTGTACCACTTCTAAGGGGGAGGCTTGGGGGTCAGGGGGCCCAGGGAGATAGCTCCTGACCAGCCTGGGACCGGCAGCAGGAGAGTATGCGCAAAGGCCTGGAGGTGTAAGGCCAGGGGAGGTGTGAGAATGCAGGCAGGCAGAGCTCTGAAAGGTTGGTGGAGGAGCTGGGGCTCTGTCCAGGGGCAACGGGGAGCCAAGCAGGGTGGTTCGGGCAGGCTCTCAGACATGTGGGCACCTTGAAGGTCATAATGAGGTGCGTGAAATGGAACTCAGCCTCCAGGTCCAGCTGGATGGTGACCATGGGGATACCTGGGGGCAGATTCAGAGGTCAAAAACGAGGCTGCTGGAGGGCAGCCCTGCTCACTCCAAGCCCACCCACGGCCTCACCATTCTCTGACTGCCACCAGGCTGTCCGGCGCTGCGGGGCGAAGCTGGTGACTACATTCTGGATGCGATGGCTGTGTGGATTGTCTCGGGCAGAGAAGGGGCGCCGGGAGTCACACAGGAAGCACTTCTTTTCATCCTTGTTTTGGGGGTTAGGAGCAATGTCTTAGCCGGTGCTAGCACTACCTTGACCCCTGACCGGGCTTCCCACCCCTTCCCAGCCGCACCTGCAGATGACTGACTATGCAGTAGGGCTGGGGGCCGTGCAGGCCGCAGGTGGATGAGGCAGTCAGTCTGTCCTCACGGCCCACCAACAGGTCGCCTGTGGCCGGGTAGCAGCTTCCCCGTGAACAGCCTGGTGCATCAGGGACCAAGGCCTGGGCCGGTGTGATGGCCAGCACTGGGGGCGGGGGAGGGGGGTTGGCCAGCCAGTTCTGCTGCCTCCATCCGGTAGCCCCAACCCGTGTGCCCAGAGGCAGCCACCCCAAGGCTTCCCATCACACTCCACAACCTCCAGCCCTCACCAGGCCCCCTCACCACTCAGCAGCAGGCCCAGCTGAAGTTCCCAGGGCACAGGCTGTCCTGGTTGGCCCCTCCCTGGCTGCCCTGAGGCCCGCTCCATCCTGAAGAGGAGAGGAAAAGAGATGAAGGGAAATAAATGAAAGGTCTTCGGCTCAGGCCCACTCCCTTCCTGCGGGGTGTCTTGCTGACCCTGCCCGTGCAGGTCCTTGGCCAGTTTCCTTCCAGGCCCTATGTCTGTCCCCAGATCTGTCCAGCGGTCCTTCCACCAACTCGGAGACTCAGAGTCCGGCGACTTTGAGTAAAGTTGGGAAGCACAGCAGGAAGGAAAACACGGAGCAGATCCCAGGCAGGAGCAAAACAATGAGCAGATCCCCCCTCCCGGAAACAGCCCTCGCCCTGGGAGCCAGACAGGCTAACACTCGCAGGTCTTGACTGTGCGCACAAGTCCGGATCTCTACTGGGCCTGGGCCAAGGGAGGGAGGGAGTTCCGTGCTTTGGGCCACCACAGGGAGGCTGAGCCTGGGAGCAGGGCTGGCACAAACAAGAGGGATCTGATCTGTGGGGTCTGGAACTGTGTCAAGGACTGGGTCAAGGAGCCCACAGGAGTCCCCGGTGTCATGATGCCATGGAAATCCCAGCTAGCTCAGCTGCTGCATCCCAGGGCTCCAGCATCGGAAGGCAAGAGGGCACGAGGGGCACCAAGCTCCCCTACTCCAGGCTGTGGGGTGCTTTAGGACAGCCTAAGGGATGGACAGGATGAGGGAAGGGAGATAGGGCAAGGCCGTGCTCTGGCCAAGGCCCAACTCTTGGGTCTCGCCTCTCTTTATACCATACAAGGAGGCCTGAGGAGCACGCGCCAGCTTCCCCTGTGAATGCGCTCGCAGGGTGGCGGACGCTGGACAGGAGCAGCAGCAGGAGAGTCCGGATCTCGTAGCTGTCCATCCACTCCAGACCTTCCAGCCTGCCATAGCACAGAGCCAGGGGTTGGAATGCGAGCAGCCCAGCAGCCGGCAGGAGGGCGCGCCCCACCCAGGCCCTTGGGACGGAGCTGGAGTGGGGGTGTGGGGGGCGTGGGAGACTGAGTCGGCAGGTCTGCAGGGCAGGGTTGGGCTTTGAGCCACCAGATGGTCTGTCTGCTCTGGTGTGGAGTTCAAAGCTGGGAGTTTCTCAGAAGAATTTACAAGGGGTCGGGTGGACATCAGTCTGGTGGACTTATCACTGTGAGTCACTGCCCATCTCCTAGAGAGGAGGTCTCTGTCAGTCCTCAGAGTCACATGGTCGACCTGCGGGCTCAGGGATATGGGAGATGACTCCGCATCCCAGATCACTCAGAGATGAAGGTCTGCCGGGGTCAGGGGCGCCGGACAGCCACAGGGAGCTGCATCCTTTGCTTTATCCAGGTCAGAGGGCCACTGGGGGACACCATGGGGTCATGCGGGAAGGGGTCATTCCGGGTCAGTGGGTACTTGGTGGCATCTCTGATGTCTTCAGGTCAGAAGATGCCAGGTCACTCTGAGTCACCCAGGTGGCCCCAGAGTGCTTGCTGGCTCCTGCAGGTGGCAATCAGCAGGTGGCATTGGTGCTGGCACTCGGCCACATGTGCTCGGGCAGCTCCGCTGCTCGCTGCTCCAGGGCCAGTAGCACGCTGCCCTCTGGCCCAGCGCCTTTTCATCCTGTGCCAGGCGGCACTCTAACCCTGGAGGTCAGGTCATGGAGCCGGGTTCTGATCCCTGGCCTAATCTCCACCATGATTCTGATCCTGACCCTGACTCTGACCCCTCCACCAGCCCTAACCGTAAACGAACTCTGACTCTGACATGAGACCCCTCGTTCTGAATTGTGACCCCAGCCCTGATCCTTACAAGAGTCAGGACCTGTCTGAACTGAGCCCTGACCCTTCACAACATCCCAGTTCCGACCTGACCCTAGTGCCGCCCCATGCTCCCTGTCCAGACTCACTCTCCAGGAGGCTCCGGCTGTTCTGTACCTTCTTCAGAGGCTCCTTGGCCTCAGCTCATACCCGCTGCACCCGTTCTCCTATGTCCTGCACTGTGGCCTCTAGGACATACACACCCTCCTGAAGTTCTGCCATACCCAGCTGGGCCACCTGTAGCCTACAGCAGGGCTGGACTTGAAACCCCACGTGCCCAGACTCTCCTGTGCTAAATATGCCAGGTGGGGGAGGACGGTCTTCAAAAGTTCATGTAAAATACATTTTACAAAAAAAAAAAAAAAAAACTGTACATAGGCTTTGAAATTTTATGCACCAAAATAAGCTCATATTCCATTTTTCCATGGACTTTTTAAAGTCCACTGATCACTCAAGGTTCTTGGAAGGCATGGAGATTTAAAAACATGTCACTGCCTCAGCACAGCTCCGGCTTAAACCTCACTTCCTACCGTTCCAGAGAGGTTCCTGAGACCCCAACACCCACGGTTCCCCCATCTCATCTGGCCCAGAGCCTGCCCAAGGCCCATTCAGCCCGTGCTTCTGCCTCCTGGGCCTGCCGCTGACTCAAGATAAAACATGTTTTCAGACCAGCAGATGGAATGGTTAGGTCACCTGACTCCCACATAGTCGACCATGATTTGAGTCCCAGACCCGGTGGCTTAAAACTCATGCTAGGCGCGTGTGTGTGCATGCCCAAAACCCTGAGAGGAAAACAGAGAAGGGATTGTAGTGTGGCCATTCCCCCTGGGGGTGATTTCTCACTTTCTGTCTCTCCATCTCTCTCTGTCTCTCCAGCGAGCACACATACTCTATATATAGCAAAAAATCTCTCCTAAAAAAAAGAAAGCGTTCTGAGAGCCTCAGCCACACGGGCAGGTCAGGGAGGTCCAGCAGGTGGCATCTAGGCTGTCGAGTACTTCTCACTGTACTACTGCGGTACATCAAGGACCTTCAGGGGGAGCTGGGGACTATGGCAGTCACAAATACAGATGCACGTGGGCTATCACCTCCTGGCCACTGGCCTTCAGGCCTTCAAGTCCCAACTCTGCTGTCCTCAGTCCTTGCTCTGCAGCCTCTGCACGAGTTCCCACCTCGGCCAGCACCCCCTGAATTACCAGCATGTGGTCCTGGGTCCTGGCTGGTTGCTCCCTGAAGAGCACAGATGCTCAGTTGGGTATTTCCTTCCTGTCCACTCACGGACTTCCACCATCAGCCTCCTGGCCCTTCACCTGGTCTGCCATGCCTGGAGGATGCTTTCAACTCCAGGCAGCTCCTGCCCTGTGGCATCAGGTACAGGGAGGACACCCTGGATCTGGACTAGCAGAGGGCAATACCCACTGCCCCAGCGAGGGAGAGGGGCACCACCAGCCCATGCCATAATACCAGCTCCAAACTTGCAATATCTGTTCCTTCATCTGTGGGGAAGGACACAGGCATCTTGAACCTGAACTCTGACCTTAGCTGCTCACTGATTCCACCTCTGACATAACTACTCAGGGGTGTGCTGGCAGCTTACAAGAGCCATTTGTTAAATTAACAGGAATTGGGACCGGCAGTTAGCGTAATGACTATGTCGCTGGACTCCCATGTAGTTGACTGCGGTTCAAGTCCCAGACCTGATGGCTTAAACTCACACATTGCGGCGTGGCCATCCCCCCTGGGGGGTGATTTCTTGCTTTCTGTCTCTCTGTCTCTCTCTCTCGCGAGCGCACACGCCCTATAGCAAAAACTCTCCAAAAAACAAACAAACAAAATAACAGGAATTTTGCAAATCAGTTGTCAAATGGTAGGTTGATCGAAATTGATCATGGTAGGATTACTTAACACTATGCTAAACCAGCAATTAAACCAGCCAGTTGCTTTACCAGCACACTAGCACTCCCACCTGACCCCTGGCCAGCCCTTACGAATATCCCTGATTCTGGAAAGAGCATCATGACAGTGTCCTGGATGCCCTCCCGGCCCTGCCCTCAGCTGTGAGCAGACATGTACCCCTGAGGAAGTGCTGCCTAGTCTGCACTGTTGCTTACATATGGGCCGTGGCGGCCATGCCCCAGGGCCTGTTGGCAGGATGTAATGTTTCCTGGGCCTGGATTCCCGTGGAGCTTGCTGTGACATGGCTTTGCTGCAGCTGGCAGGGGTGGGTCTGATGTGGAATGTCTCCTGTGAGCCCATGCCTGGGTCCTAGTCCCCTGTGACTCCTGCTGTGGTTCCACCCACATTCCCCATGGCTCTGTACCTGTTGCTGATGCTTCTCCAAGGCTGTGGCTGCTGTGTCCCAATGATAGGAGGAGCCATGTGAGGTGACCAGAGCCCAGTGAGCAGTGGACAGGGTCCCAGGGCAAGGAGAAACCCCACAGGGCACAGGAACACAGGCCAACCCAAGTTCCCAACCCCTGCGTTTCTGCAAACATGATGGGAGATCTTGTGAGGAATGCACGTCCCAGATCGCCTACTGCCCTGACACCAGCGTGCCTCTGGGGAAAAGTCCACACTAAGGTAGCCACACCCTCCACACCCCCAGTGGAGATGAAGCATTACCTGGCCAGAGGTGCCCTCTGTTCTGATTCCTCACTCAAGGAAACCCTCCTGATTTCCAGACCCAGGACTCACAAAGACCAACTTGTCACCCTTGGAATCCCTGACTCTGGGAAGCTGGCTGATTGCAGACACCTTGCCTGAGGCCATTCTGTAAGTCGCTGCAGGACCCCCACAGGGAGTGCCTGTGCCTGCTGAAGTTCCCCTCCAGGACCTGTGGGCATCCACCCTGTGGGCATCCACCCTAGCCTTCAGCACCTTAGCCTGGCATCCGCTGGCATAGGGTAGGGCAGCCACCAGCTGCAGTCAGAGCAGAGCCAGGTGTCGGTCCCAGAAGGCGAAGCAGGTAGGACAGAACATGCAGGGTGGGAAGGCACCTCTGAGCCACGGGCACAGGCTTGGCACCTCAGCCCTGAGAAGCCCTCTCTGCAGAAGTGAGATGGAGCCCAGGCCAAGGCACTGGCTATGGGAGGAGATGGGGTCAGGGCAGAGAGCTGATAGCATTGGCCCTAGCCTTGCCTTCACGACGGATGGGGAATGAGAATGGTTCTTGAGACTCCTCAGCTTGGACAGCTGGCAGCTGTGATGGGCTCCCCAGGCTGGAGAGGGGACACAATGGGGGTCTTGCTCAAGTCCCTGATCGAGGCTGGAACCTGCCAGGGGCAGTCCCTAGGGCATGAGTACAGTGGGAAGGAGGTAGCCAGGGGCCTCCCTGAGGGCAAGTGAGATGTCAATGTCCTTTCTCATCCTGTCCTGGGAGTTCCACGGGCTCTGTCCAAGACGCCAGTCTCTGGCCATGTGGCTAGCCCTACCTCCCTGCCCTGAGTCCCAAGGTGACCACGGAGATGGGGACGACGCAGGCAGACACCCTCCCCTCCTCCACTTGCATGAGCACAAGGGTGAGGTGG